GGGTTATATAGCAAAGTTTCCTTCATTCATCCACGATATCCTACACAGTTGTAAAATACTGCAGGCCGTTAAAGATTGACCGCACTTCCAGGATTTAGATTCTAGATTCGTTCAGGGAAATATTCCGAGAACGAGCATACATTGTACCAAACCCATAGTCGCCGGAGAGTTTCGATAATTATTCTCAATGGAGTGGAAAGGGCCCGAACAAGAGGAATCGAAGGACGACAAAGTTTCAAGCACGTTAAAAAAAACGTGCGTTTCGCCGTGGTTTAAAAACGCTCAGAAGAGGTGAACAAAAGAGTACGTTGTGTGTCTTGAATGTCGATAAATGACTTCGAAATTTTCGGCGAGCGAGAGCGCGATGTTTATTGCCGTTTCCGCGAAGTCGAGCGTCGCCTTACTTGAAAACAGCTTAAAAACAGAAACAAAAACGCGAGCTCGAGGCGATTTTTTTCCCAGAACACTTGGGGATTCGGTAACTCGGCGATTACGAGTGCAAGTGGCGACTTTCTATTAAAAAACAAAACGACGAAACGAAGGGACAGCGGCCGTGGGAAAATCAGGATACGCCAATGATTGAAGAAACTCGAAACTTCCACTCATTAAAGTGTTGCACGTGCATCGAAACATCCATTCATAAATATGTGTCTATTCATAGTTTACTCGAGCCCTTATGAATAAAGTTACGCGCGATTTAAACTGGAATTACCGTAGATCGGAACACGACACCTGAATGAAAAAGGAAATTGTTCGCTACAGAGGGAAGCACATCTCACGAGAAATCTTATTTTTTGTAAGAGACTACGAATTTAGTAGTTCTAGCGTTAATTTTGTCTGTTGTTCTTCTTGGCTCTACACGACTCGAAATAAATGTTATATGTAAACGGACAAAACCCTGTACTATGTTAAGCAGCATGTAGCAAATAATACATGCTTTTTACGAATATAGTATTTAAAAAAAGAAAAAAAAAAGAGCATGCGCGTGAAGAGAGAGCGAAGAGAAATAGCAGCGTTAATCAGAAACAATTTCATTGGTCACAGACAATCAGCGATTGCAAATGTCAGTTGTGCAATAACACAATGTATTTTTAATACGAAGAATAAATAGATTACGTTTAACAGAATTGTCACGCGGATTAAACTTTTCAAATCTCCGGCTGATTGATAAAAATTATAAAGCGAGACGCGATTCAATTTTTACGATACCACTACCACAGGCTACGTTTCCCTGGTTATAAATGACACGTTCCTGCCATTCTGCGTATGCGAAGATTCCATCTAAACCTCGTGGAAAAAGAAAATCTATTATTAAAAGACGACTCTCCACCATCATCAATTACAGGATTACGTGATAGTATTCAAAACTCAATGGTACATATATTTCCAGATTACCATCGAATACCTGCGCCACTGATACGTGTCAGAAAGAATGAATAGAAAATGAATTACGTACGAAATGTGAGCAATCTTTTGAAACTCAACTGTCGCGTCGTTCGAAAAAAGTTCAGTCCAAGTTTGAGCCACCTAATATCATTTGTTGCACGAGCAAATGATGAAAAATCTATTCGTCCAATTTGTTTGTTTTTTTTTCTTTTTTTTTTTTTTGTACATATTTTTCATTACAACCGATGCAAAGCCTATCAAACTCGATACTTCTTGGCATACGTGCGTATTTGACGTAAAAGTGCGCGCATCTTCCCACGGCTGCCACGAAATTTCTCGCGTGGAATGAGCGCGAATGACGCGTGTACGTGCGCGTTGCTCTCGCTGGAAGCGCGTCAAAACGGAAATCAGGAACCACACGCGCGCGCGGGCGAGTATTTTCGATTTTTGCCGATTCGGTGCAACAAACGATGATAACACGTAGCCACGGTGGTCTCTCCCGATAATCTCTCTTCATCGATCGAGATACTGCGAGATAGTTAATCATCGGACGAGAGTGGGAAACCAGCGTGGCAAGAACGTTCTTTCTCTCCGACGATCTCAACGACGACGTCTGTCGCGTCGGCGATGAGAAAGAGAGAGAGAGAGGCGTCTAAATTATCATTAGGAC